ATGGATATCCCGGTCCTCAAACACTCTCTGCTCCATTCGGAAAAATGCTGCACTCGCAGAGCTCAGGCAGTGTTGTATTTCTAAAACTACAGTCTCCATGGCTCTATAGCATTGAACCAAGGCAGTTAAAATGGATTCATTCTGAACCATAGATGCACCCCAAGGTTTCTTTTTCATTGCTGAAAGCTTTGGTGTTCCAACGCAATTGCTTTTAAAGAAGGAATTCTAAGCAGGCAGCAAGAGTAATGGGCATATTGCAAGGAGGGCACTTTTTGTTGTACATTCATTACATTCACCAGCAAGCACTCTTTTTTGGGTTCAGGGTTGTAAAAATGGAGGTGTGCATTAGATTCGATGGTGCATTAGACTCGAGTAAATGTAGTTTATGTTAGCCAATAAAAATAAAGTGCACAGGTAAAGGATGGGAGACACATTGGCTTGAAAGCAGTCCATGAGAAAGGCATCTAGGAGACTTCATAGATGGCAAGTTGAACATGGGTCAACGGTGTGATGCGGCAGCAAAAAAGTCCAATGTGATTATGGGCTGCATCAAGAGGAGTTTATGTTATGGCTGAGATGTTCTCTGATGATGAGGATGATGGGATTCAGATTCCTGGTTCTTTTTCTGTGCCTCAGATCTCTGGGCCTGCTTCTAGGTCTTTTTCTGAGGCTCCCACAGACAGTGCAGAATCAACACAGCGGTTCTCAGAAGAAAAGAATTTTAATGAAGGAGATAGCGAACAGGTGGAGAAGCCTTTGCCTTCTTCCCACGCTGATAGTGAAGGTGCAGAAAGCCTTGATAGTGACCTGACCCAGCAAGCTCATCTTGATTTGCGGGTCAGGAGGAGTTTTTGTCTGGCCGGCAGACGAGAAGCCAGCTCGGGGAAAGGTCATCGCAATGCTTTCATGTTGGTGAGAGCATAACGAAGAGAAAGCATCAGTTCAACATAGCTTGTTAGCCTGAAAGCTCTTGTGTGGTGGTGTTTGGAAGCAAAGCAAAACTTACTCTGAGTTGCAACAGTTTAGTATCGAGACTAAGGGAAGTCAACGTCCTACTCTTTTCTGGTTTGGCCAGGGTAGGTAAGGTAGTCCCCTGACACTAAGTCCAGTCATGTCTGACTCTGGGGTGTGGTGCTCATCTCCATTTCTAAGCCGAAGAGCCAGCGTTGTCCGTAGACACCTCCAAGGTCATGTGGCCAGCATGACTGCATGGAGCGCCCTTACCTTCCCGCCGGAGCGGTACCTATTGATCTACTCACATTTGCATGTTTTCGAACTGCTAGGTTGGCAGAAGCTAGGGCTGACAGCGGAAGCTCACGCCGCTCCCCGGAATCGAACCTGCGACCTTTCGATCAACAAGCTCAGCAGCTCAGTGCTTTAAACCACTGCGCCACCGGGGGCTCCTAAAATACAATTTGGCCAGACCTCACCTAAAATACAATTGTGTCCAGTTCTGGGCAAAGCAATTTAAGAAAGAGATGTCCAAGATGAAGAGTGTCCAGAGAAGTTCAAAAGTTGAACTGTGCACAGCCCTAGTTGACACAGTCTGTAATGCCGGGGACCAAGTGCCATTCTTCCCCAGTGACCCACTTCTTCTCTCCGCAGTGTGCCAGCAAGGAAAACCCTCCCTTCTGCATGGATTGGAGCTCATGAAGATCCAAAACTTTGTGGGCCAAGGGCAGCTTTTAGGATCTGTTTTGAATGTGGTGGGGTGAGTCATCGAGCGCTCCGGATTTTATTGTTTTCCTATTCTTTCTTCTGGCCTGATATTTAATATTTATACATTCTCTATTCCAATTCTAACAGGTCAAATTATGAAGCCTTCTAAAACAACTTTTTTTATATACAAAGTTTAGAAATAGTTCCCAGTTCTTAATGCATATAGATGTTGTAAATCAGCCAGAGGCTGATGGTTTAACTCATAATTTAGAGAGGATTGTGGGCTTTGCTGTGGCACAAAGCGATGGGCCCTCAAGTCTGGGAAATTTAGGTCTGGGAAATGATGGTTCTTTCTGTGAGGAAACTGGCTCAGAAGTGCAGGGCCTCAAGGTCTGTCAGAAGAGCCAGAAGTAGCAACAGCAGACAAGGAATTGAGTGATCAGCTGAGTGATAAGGAGGGCTCCTAGGAGAAACCACCTGTAGCTACGGAGATCAACAGAAGTCTTTGTTTACAAATCAGATCTGAAAATAGATTATGCAGGTCTGAGAGATTATGTGGGAAAGTTGTGGAGAAAATTCACAGAAGACGTAATGCTTTCATGGGTGTCTATTAAACAACAATATATTAATTGATTAAAATACATTCAGTTGCTAATTGTTGTAGGTAAGTATTTTATATTATGAAAAAATGTTTGTTTTTGCAGGGGGTGGAGAACACCATTCCCTTGTTTGGTGTAATTTTCTTTGTATTGTCGAAGGCTTTCATGGCCGGAATCACTGGGTTGTTGTAGGCTTTTTGGGGTTATATGGCCATGGTCTAGAGGCATTCTCTCCTGACATTTCGCCTGCATCTATGGAAAGCATCCTCAGAGGTAGTGAGGTCTGTTGGAACTAGGAAAAAGGGTTTATATATCTGTGGAATGACCAGGGTGGGACAAAGGACTCTTGTCTGCTGGAGCTAGGTGTGAATGTTTCAACTGACCACCTTGATTAGCATATAATGGCCTGACAGTGCCTGGAGCAATCTTTTGTTGAGAGGTGATTAGATGTCGTTGTTTGTTTTCTCTCTGTTGTTTTGCTGTTGTAATTTTAGAGTTTTTTAATACTGATTGCCAGATTTTGTTCATTTTCATGGTTTCCTCCTTTCTGTTGAAACTGTCCACCTGCTTCTTGTGGATTTCAATGGCTTCTCTGTGTAATCTGACATGATGGTTGTGAGAGTGGTCCAGCATTTTTGTGTTCTCAAATAAAATGCTGTGTCCAGGTTGGTTCCTCAGGTGCTCTGCTATGGCTGATTTCTCTGGTTGAGTTAGTCTGCAGTACCTTTCATGTTCCTTGATTCATGTTTGGGCAATGCTGCGTTTGGTGGTCCCTATGTAGACCTGTCCACAGCTGCATGGTACACGGAGGAAACAAACAAGGACATCTAATCACCTCTCAACAAAAGATTGCTCCAGGCACTGTCAGGCCATTATATGCTAATCAAGGTGGTCAGTTGAAACATTCACACCTAGCTCCAGCAGACAAGAGTCCTTGTTCCCACCCTGGTCATTCCACAGATATATAAACCCCTTTTCCTACTTCCAACAGACCTCACTACCTCTGAGGATGCTTGCCATAGATACAGGCAAAACATCAGGAGAGAATGCCTCTAGACCATGGCCACATAGTCCGAAAAAACCTACAACAACCCAACAATATATTAATTGATTAAAATACATTCAGTTGTTAATTGTTGTAGGTAAGTATTTTATATTATGAAAAAAATGTTTATTTTGCAGTTGGTGGAGAACACAATTCCCTTGTTTGGTGTAATTTTCTTTGTTGGCCTGATAATTGGCTTGTCTTTTCTGAATAAAAATTCCTTTAAATATAAAATACATTCAATGAAATGCACATTAATTGAAACACAATTCTATAAGATACACATATTAAAATAGAATGTAAATTTTAAACCCCAAGACCCACATTTCAGGGTTTGCATATGCAACCATGGCTGGGGCATCTAAGCATTGGGTTTAGGTTCCAAAGCACCCAAAGGAGTGGATTGCAACCCATGGAAAGCTCATTCTGAAAGAATGCTGTTTGTTGTAAAACTACTGTTGTGTCTAAACCATGCACTGCTCTCCTTTTAAGAAACTGCTGTTCATTCCCTGTCTTCCTTTCCTCGTTTTCTGCAGGATCAACATTAAGAATGTCCAGCTGCCGCATCTTTCTGTGAAACTGATCCCGAAGACGGGCGTCCAGCTTTCTCTTAGCTGCCAATTGCATATCAGAGCAAGCCTGTGAGTGAATTATAGATTTCACTTTGGAGTTGTCAAAAGGTTTTAGCCTTGTGCTGTCGTTCCTGGGGACTATAAAACTCTTAGTGAAAGAGACATAGACATGAAATCTTTCCCCCAGGGGATTGCTTCTTGCCTTCCTTTAGAGAACTGGAACTCCCAAGGACCAAAACACTGTAGATAACTCAAAATAGGTTTTATTGTTCACAAAGAGTTATCCCTTTAAGGCAATAAGCTGGAAGTTTCAAAGGGGGTAAAGGAAAATATACATTACAGTCCTTGGTTGTCTTGGGTCCAAGGAGATTTCACAGCTGAGAAGCTTTTCCTGTTCCCTCTTTTCTCAATGACTGTGAAGGTCGGAACAAACACAACCCCCAGTCCAATGGCCTATGTTGAAGGCACAGAGTCTTCCTTTTGATGCCAAAGGACTGGTTTGAAGGCGCTTAAGATTCCTCAACGTTGTCCAGGGCGATCTGGACATGAAGCATGAGTCCCAAGGATAAAAACCTTAGAATTGGTGCTGAGAGGTAACTTAATCAAGGGCTTTAGAGCCAAGTCTCTCTCTCACATCTATCTGATAGAAAGTTTGATGGTGGAATGAAAAAGGAAACACTGTCCTGCTCTCTAGGAAGATGTGGTGTCAAGCAATTGAGCTGAGGAACTAGTATAACTGGTGCAAACAACATTGATTGACAACTATAAATAACCAATCAATCCAACTATACATTTACAAAGTAAGCAAGTATGGGCATGTTATACAGTTTAAACCTTTGCACTTTAAAGTTCTAAACACAGGTGGTACCACTCGCACCGTCACAAGCCTTCCCTGCCCAGATTTTTCTGGTGTAGAAAGGTATCCCTGGGTGCATCTGATCTGTGGAATGAATACAGTTTGACTAAGATGCTGTAATGCTATGGCATCCTGGGAGCTGTAGTTTTACAAAGACTTCAGCCTTCTTTGCCAAACCATATGGATGCCTCACTAAACTACATTTCCCCATCGTGGTCAACTGTGAATCGTACATATGGTATTTTCTGCGCAGGCGCAGAAAATACCATATGTGCGAATTCACAGGTGACCGCTCGGGGAACTACGGTTACAGGTAAGCAACCTAGATATCCCAGGATTCCATAGATGGTGAAGTGGTGTGAAAATTATAGAAATATATATATATATAAAACAGAACAGAAAAGAATGCAGGTTGATGTCACTTTAACTTAGTGCCATGGAGTAATGGGAGTTGTCGTTTGGCAAGGCACCGGCCCTGTCTGGCAACGGTGACTAAAGATCTTGTAAGACTACAGTTCCCAGGAACCCAAAGCATAGAGTTGTTATTGAAAATGGACCCCAGAAACAAGGAATGAATGAACTTTGGGGCTCCAGCCCCAAGTTTGCATAATCACCACACATTTCCCAATATTTGCACCATCACTATAAGCAGAACGGTCTCAGCCATCTCTCCTCAGCCACAAAGGTTCAAAGCCCAGCAGGCACCGAAAGCCCATTCACACACTTCCTCATCCCTTTGTCATATCCCATTATCCCTGAGTTCTAGGATGTTCAGGGTGTTTGGGAATTCCATTATCCCAAACTTGGGGACTGTTTCCCAGCCGTGTCCCCATTCCATTCTCAGACCCTCCCAGGAAAAAGGACACAACAGAGCTTCAAATTCAACCAATGATAAGTTGTTGTGAGTTTTTCGGACTGTATTTCCAATGTTCCAGCAGCATTCTCTCCTAACATTTCACCTGTTGGCAGTGAGGCAAGTGGAGTGTGTGTGTGTTTGTGTGTATACACACACACACACACACACCTGTGGAATAATGTTAATGTCCAGGGTGGGAGAAAGAACCCTTGTCTGTTTAAAGCAAGTGTGAATGTTGCAGTTACCAAGCTTGAATAGGACTGAGTAGCTATGTTAACACCACCCAAAAAGAGAATACCTCCAGACAACAAAGGCCAGGCTACCTCTATCTAGCACTGATTGACTTTGCAGCTTCCTGGCTACTCAAATGCTAATTCAAGCTTATTAATGACAACACTCACACTTGTTTGAAACAGACAAGGGTTTTTTCTCCCACCATGGACATTATTCCATAGGTATATATACATTCTGTGGCATAATGTAAAACCACGCATACTTCACATTTGATCAGACCACACACTGTCTTACCTGAGAAAGAAAATATGCCACACTGATGATCAATAAAGAACAAGCAGTTTACTCTTCGTAATTCAGAACAACACATGTACAATGATGTGATCAGTTGCCTTAACTTACATAATGTCCTTTTATTTATTTATTTATTTATTTACTATATTTGTGTGCTGGTATGGCTGTACCAGGAGCTCCAACTTTATTTTATTTCTGTTATCTGTTTTGCAGCCATAGAATAGGCCTTCTGTCCATCATAGTTAAGCTTTGGTTCCACCCCCTGTTCTGGGCTCTGGGAGGGAAAGGAGCCATTTTTAGTCAGTCTCACACAAGGTAGCTAAGCTATAGGACGTAGACCAACTCGTCCCATAGAAAAGCTTCCTTTCTTAAGAGCATACAGGGGGAAAAGGAACCCCCAGGGAAGAAGGATCATCTAGGGAAACTGACCATCCAGGGAAACTGATTCACTGAACTCAACTGAAATATCTTCAAGCCTCAGCCGGTAAGGTCTGCTCGATACCCAGACGCATTTGGAATCGGTAGTAGGACCCACACCGATGAGGCATAGATAGTAAACAGCCAGGGAGAGGTTAAAAAGGGTTTTTCCTACGAAGAAGGTTCAGTTAATCAAAGTCAGGTACCAGTCCATTGAGGACTAGACTAAGAATGCCTTGAAGTGTTGTTTGAACCATTGAAGATTTGTTGTTTGTTCCATAATAAAGACTTCGTTGTATCGTTAAAGACTCTAAAGACCATTACTTCAGAAAAATCCCTGAGAACCTCTCTTTGAGGCACCCCTGGCTTCCCGCTGGGCTTAAATTATACGTCCTATAGAAAAGTACAACTGTTACAGGCCCAGCGCACAACAGAACAGTCAATAAAACATAGATCATTAATGTCTCCTAGTTAAGATCAAGGTCCAATCCCATCTTCTAGAGAGATTTTAAATGGCCTTTCTTTGTCCATGTGGAAAACCATCCTCCAGCAGCTCATGAAGCAAGAACACACTCCAAACTGCCTCTCTCTGCAAGCACCTGCAAAACTCAAGCACAAAAAATGTAACAGTAACCAAAACTCCCAGGCTCAGCTAGCTCCCCGAGAGTAACCCAACCAATCAGCTTCGTGCCTCTTATTTTACAGTTGACACACACATGCTATCTGATTTCTTACATACCCCAACACATTCCACTTGTCTCACATCCAACAGAACCTCTGAAGATGCCATTAGCCACAGATGCAGGCAAAACGTTACTGAAACATTGCCATACATTCCCGAAAAACTCACAACAACCCAGTGATTCCAGCCATGAAAGGCTTCGACAACTCAATCAATGATAGTTTGCTGAAATTCTCACCAGGCCAATCGGCTATTCAGCAACCGAAATTCACAGATGTTTAAACTTCCCGCCAATTGATAGACAGGCAAGAAGAAACTTTGGAGTCCCAATGAAAAGTTTGCCCATGCCTGGTGTAGATGTGTCTTTATTCTTTTTTTCTTTTTTTTTAGCAAAATGCAACAAATCATCTGACATTGTTGACTTCCTTTGCGCAGCTTGATCACTTCCTTGGAACTGAAGATGGGCTCCTCCATTTCACTGGACATCCGGGTTGGGCGCACTCCTAGCGGCGTCCCCTTCCTGAGCATTACGGCTTGCAAGTCCATTCTCGGAGATGTGAAAATCATTCTTGGTGGACACAAGTAAGTCTCAGTTCTTTGTGTGTGCTTCTGTTGTATGTGTGGGACTTAACTTATATAATTTATTGATTTTCGACTTGCAAGATCACTCCAAATGTGATTATGTGAAACACGTTGGAGCAACTGTTACATAGAGTAGATGCCATCAAACTACAAAGTCTCTCCTAGGATTTTGAGAAAGTTGCTTGTCAACAGATGTTTCCTCTGCTCCTTGTTAAAAAGGAACTCTTCCAAATTTGGAGTTTGCCTGATAGAAAAGTACAACAAACCTTCCTGGTTCATTGGCTCATGGATGGACAAAATCTGTTAGATAGATAATGCACTGTTACACAAGAATGCATTGACTCTAACCCTGTTGTGCTAAACTGGTGGAAAATACAGTTCTAATGGACATGTGGTCACACACCTACTGAAGGGTTAAGTGAGTGGTGATGTGGAACTTGAGGGACATTCTGAAGAGGTTGAGTCATGACCATGTGACAGTCATGATGACGAGTAAATAGTGGGTATATGACGAGTGAGTAGTGGTTGATGACGAGTGAGCAGTGGGTATAAAGGAAGGTAGCAAGAGTGTTGTCTCTCTCTTACCATGATTCTCTCACTTCCCACTGTACATCTACTGCTGGTATGTGTTATCTGCGTTGTGAGTATATCCCTGCATATGCCATTGACTGACAGAAGATCAGGAGATCCTGATGTGTGTTTATAGCTGTACATAAAGCAACATGTCAAAATTAAAAACCTCCACTATGAATTTGGATAAAAACTGAGTCAAAGAGGTGAGAAGCACAAGGTCAGATTGTGCAGTAAAACTCTGCTGACAACTGATAAGGTTTATTTTTCTAACTTACTTACTTACTTAGGCAATCCCTCATAGTCCGAGGATGATGGTCTTCCAAGTTCAGTGTCCTGGGGGTGGGTTCGTAGGTGGCTGTGGAGCCCTATTCTTGACCTGCATCTTCTCCCACAATGAGGGCATTGGTTTCCAGGTGGGAGGCGGTCTCGGTCGGGGTCGGCTTGACGCGCCTTCCTCTTGGCACATTTCTCTCTTTCGCCCTCTATTTGTGTCTCTTCAAATTCTGCAGCACTGCTGGTCACAGCTGACCTCCAGCTGGAGCGCTCAAGGGCCAGGGCTTCCCAGTTCTCAGTGTCTATGCCAGAGTTTTTAAGGTTGGCTTTGAGCCCATTTTTCAATCTCTTTTCCTGCCCACCAACATTCCATTTTCCGTTCTTGAGTTCAGAGTAGAGCAACTGCTTTGGGAGATGGTGGTCGGGCATCTAGACAACATGGCCGGTCCAGCGGAGTTGATGGCAGAGGACCATTGCTTCGTGCTGGTGGTCTTTGCTTCTTCCAGCATGCTGATGTTTTTCCGCCTGTCTTCCCAAGAGATTTGCAGGATTTTCCGGAGGCAGCACTGATGGAATCGTTCCAAGAGTTGCATGTGACTTCTGTAGACAGTCTACGTTTCGCAGGCATATAGCAGGGTTGGGAGGGTATAGTTTCTAGCTTAACTATAAACCACTCACCTGTCTTGCCTTTGACAAACTCTAGTGCAGAAAACAAAAGCTCTCAAAAGTCTACAAGTTTCATATACTGTTGATCTTAGCATAAGGTTGTTGTTAGGGTCGAAGGGTTAGCAGCTTAGTTCATAAAAATTAACTGGGGAAAAAGATGTTATTTCTTTTGCTCTCATTGACGTTTCCTCTTTGTGTGGTTCCTTTTCTTAGCTTGCTTGGCTTTCTGAAACCTATTCAAGACCACATCCGTGCTGCTTTGGTGGACCAGGTACGGAGTCCAGAAAAAATGTTTTATTCATATTATGAATGATGTTTCTGTCCTCTTTGACAAATGTCTCTATCCCCCCCCCCTCCCCCCCAAAAAAAGGATTTCTAGGGAGGGCATTTTGAAATCAAATCCATGTCTGAAAAAGTCCAAACTGTGTAGTAAATGACACATAGAGGAGATTGCTAAAATACTCTCCATAATACTCAATGTTTGATCCCTTGCCCCAAGCGTGAACTGCCCACCCACTGGTTCTGCACAGACCAATTTGAGGAAACCCTGGTGTGCCAAAGGAAAGGCAGAATGAAGATGCTTTGAGAGTAAAGTGATGAGTGCTTTGTGCTGCCCACTGCCTTTTCACTAATTTCTCTTGTTTTGTGTCCATGCAGATGTGTCTGAGTGTCTCCAATGTGGTTTTGGAACTCAATACCAAGATGGGCGCCTTGGTTGGTAAGTTACTAAGTTGGTTGGTAAGTTACTAAGCTCGATAGTACTAAGCTCGATAGTACAAGTGGTTCAGTTGGAGCCATTTTCTTGCTACATATACATAAAAGTATGCATGTTTGTCTGTGTGTTTGTATGTTTGTTTCACAATGGCACCTTCATAGCTTGGTGGATCTGGACCAAACCTGGTACCTTTCATGGTGCAACCTAAAATACTGTTGGGGTTTCAATTAGGCAGTCTGGGGATTATGTTGTTGTTCATTCGTTCAGTTGTCTCCAACTCTTTGTGACCTCATGGACCAGCCCACGCCAGAGCTCCCTGTCGGCCATCACCACCCCCAGCTCCTTCAAGGTCAGTCCAGTCACTTCAAGGATGCCATCCATCCATCTTGCCCTTGGTCGGCCCCTCTTCCTTTTGCCTTCCACTTTCCCCAGCATCATTGTCTTCTCTAGGCTTTGCTGTCTCCTCATGATGTTGCCAAAGTACTTCAACTTTGTCTCTAGTCTCCTTCCCTCCAATGATCAGTCGGGCTTTCTTTCCTGGAGGATGGACTGGTTGGATCTTCTCGCAGTCCAAGGCACTCTCAGAACTTTCCTCCAACACCACAGTTCAAAAGCATCGATCTTCCTTCGCTCAGCCTTCCCTAAGGTCCAGCTCTCACATCCGTAGGTGACTACAGGGAATACCATGGCTTTGACTAAGTGGATCTTTGTTGCCAGTCTGATGTCTCTACTCTTTACTATTTTATCGAGACTGGACATTGCTCTCCTCCCAAGAAGTAAGCGTCTTCTGATTTCCTGGCCACAGTCTGCATCTGCAGTCATCTTTGCGCCTAGAAATACAAAGTCTGTCACGGCCTCCACGTTTTCTCCCTCTATTTTCCAGTTGTCAATCATTCTTGTTGCCATAATCTTGGTTTTTTTGACGTTTAGCTGCAACCCGGCTTTTGCGCTTTCTTCTTTCACCTTGATTAGAAGGCTCCTCAGCTCCTCCTCGCTTTCGGCCATCAGAGTGGTGTCATCTGCATATCTGAGGTTGTTCATGTTTCTTCCAGCAATTTTCACCCCAGCTGGGGATTATAGGAGATGTGATTCAGCCAGTTCTGGGACTGATGGGAATTGCTGCTGGCGCGATCTGGGGCCGATGGGAAAAGCTCATATGTCTCTTGATGGATCTGGACTAAATTTCATATACACATGATCCAACATAAAATACTAGGCCTGTGTGGTTTCGTTCGTTAATTCGTTAATTCGTTATTAATTCGTTATTTTTGGCATTTCCGAAGCGATATTGAAACATATTACCAAACCCGGAAGGGTTTTTAAATATCGAACCAGCAACCCCCAGAGTTTTAACGAGCCTCCGCTCGTTTCGTTAATGGGGTGGAGGCTGCTGGAGTGCTGGTGCCTGGGAGCCAATCCGGCGCTCCCAAGCAGTGCACCATGGGTCCGTGGCTGTCTGTTTTTGATTGGCCGGCGAGCCCTTTCAAAGCGGCTCCGCGCGGCCCGTAGCTTGCTGCAGAGGGCGAGGGAGTTTGCATTAGGTTGGCTTGGCAATGGCTGCTAGCAACTGGGATTGGATTCATTCCTTGCTGCTGTGAGTGCTGCTTGCTTCATTTGCTGTCTCTTGCCTGTGTTTGGTCCACATTTGGGCCATTTTTTGGTTAATTTTCCATTTTAAAATATTTTTAATATTATTTTTTATATTATTTTATTATTTTTTAATATTATTTTTTACTATTTCTTAAAAAATATTCTAAAACAAGAAAAGACTCTTCTGTTGGTGTGTGCTCTCATTTGCTGTATCCTGCCTGTGTTTGGTCCTGGGCCATTTTTTGGTTAATTTTCCATTTTAAAATATTTTTTAATATTATTTTAATATTATTTTTTAATATTATTTTAATATTATTCTTAAAAAATATTCTAAAAAAGAAAAGACTCGTCTGTTGGTGTGTGCTCTCATTTGCTGTATCCTGCCTGTGTTTGGTCCACATTTGGGCCATTTTTTGGTTAATTTTCCATTTTAAAATATTTTTTAATATTATTTTTATTATTTTTTAATATTATTTTAATATTATTCTTAAAAAATATTCTAAAAAAGAAAAGACTCTTCTGTTGGTGTGTGCTCTCATTTGCTGTCTCGTGGCTGTGTTTGGTCCACATTTGGGCCATTTTTTGGTTAATTTTCCATTTTAAAATATTTTTTAATATTATTTTAATATTATTCTTAAAATACAAAAAATATTCTAAAAATTCGTTAATATTTACAAAATTTCTTAAATACCAAAACTTTTTTTTGGAAAGTTTTGTAATTATTTTAAATATCGAAACAAAAAAACACCCCAATTACAAATCGATTTTAGAAACAATTTTTTTCTTGATCAAACAGGCCTATAAAATACTGGTAGGAGTTTCAATTAAGCATCCAACCAGTTATGAGGAAGCCCATGCCTTCAGTCAAGGGTTGTAATAATGTGGCTCTCCAGGGGTGGCCGGACTCCAACTCATAGCTGGTAAGGGTTCATGATAGGTAAAGTCTAGCAAGAACAATGGCTGATGGGAGTTGCAACTTGAACTGATCTTAGGGACCAATGGAGATAGATTCTACAAGCTAGCTGTCATTGCCCCCCCCCCCCCAATGTGTGACGGGAAGTTGCTGCTAAATGTGAGAGAAATAAGGTTGAACCCTGTGAAAGCCACCCACTGCATGGCTACCAGCCTTCTCCCCATAGACTCAAATCAAGGAAAAGCTTTATGAGAACTACCACTCCTCTTGGCAACAGCAAGGGCATCCCTCTGGGCAGCTAAACTAACTGGATGCCCCCCCCCACCCCCACGAGGGTCTTCCTCCAGGGGCAAATCAAGAATGGGCAACTTGGAAGTCCCTGAACAGACTCAGAAGTGGAACGGGCAGATCAAAAGACAACCTGGCAAAATGGCACGACCTAAAAGAATCCCACACCTTGTGTGACTGTGGAGCAGAACAGACAATTCCGCATCTGTATGCTTGTCCTCTATGCCCTGCCTCGTGTACAGAGGAAGACTTGTTGGAGGCTATAGACAATGCCATTGCTGTTGCCTGTTTTTGGTCAAAAGATATTTAGCCGCCTGCGCGCCTTCTATCAGTTTTATATTAATTTATGCAATGCTTTTGATATGAAATAAAAAAAATACATGGAGAATGATGGGAGTTGAAGTCCAGCCACATCCACAGAACCATCTGATTCCCATCCATGACCAAAGGCGCTGTTTTCCTCCTCAGCAGGTCAGATGGTTCACCCTTCTTGCCGGGCTGCATTTCCCAATATCATTATCCCTTCATTAGACAGGCTGGGGATGATAGGAGTTACGGTATTGTCGAAGGCTTTCATGGCTGGAAACACTGTGCTATTGTAGGTTTTTCGGGCTGTCTGGCCATGTTCCAGAAGCATTATCTCCTGACATTTCACCTGCATCTGTGGCAGGCATCCTCAGATATTGAACTGGACCATATGATTTTTTTTTGTTGTGTCAGGAGCGATTTGAGAAACTGCAAGTCGCTTCTGATGTGAGAGAATTGGCCATCTGCAAGAACGTTGCCCAGGGGATGCCTGGATGTTTTTTTTTTATGTGTTACCATCCTTGTGGGAGGCTTCTCTCACGTCTCTGCATGAGGAGCAGGAGCTGACAGAGGGAGCTCATCCGTGCTCTTCTCGGATTCGAACCTGTGACTTGTCTGTCTTCAGTCCTGCCGGCACAGGGATTTAACCCACTGCGTCACTCTTTCATATGATTGTTATGATAATGGAAATGGCCATATGGCTGTATAAGTAATGTTATTGTTTTTAATATATTGTGTACTTATGGTTTTATATTGTCGTTTATATTGTGATATTGCGACATGCCAGTGTAAGCCGCTCTGAGTCCCCCCTTGGGGGTTGAGAAGGGCGAGGTAGAAATGTTGTAAATAAATAAATATTGTAAATAAATTGTGAGATCTGTTGGAAATTAGGAAAATTTGGTTTATAGATCTGTGGAAAGTCCAAGGTGGGAGAAAGAACTCTTGTCTGTTGGAGGTAGGTGTGAATGTTGCAATTGGCCACCCTGATTAGCATTTGATGGCCTGGCAGTTTTTAGGTGTGGCTTCTTACTGCCTGGGAAAATCCTTTGTTGAGAGGTGATTAGCTGCCCCTGATTGTTTTTGTCTGGAGTTCCCTTGTGTTTGAGTGTTGTTCTTTATTTGCTGCTATAATTTTAGAGTTTTTTTAAAATTCTGGTAGCCAGATTTTGTTCATTTTCATTGTTTCTTCCTTTCTGTTGAAATGGTCCACATGCTTCTTGTGGATTGCAATGGTTTCTCTGTGCAGCCTGACATGGTAGTTGTTAGAGTGATCTTGCCATAGATGCAGGTGAAACGTCAGGAGAGAATGCTTCTAGAACATGGCCATATAACCCTGAAAAACCTACAACCAACCATAGGAGTTTCTGTCAAACAAGAAGGCTGAGACACCTGACATGTGAGGAGAACATGTGACATGTCAGTCACAGGTGGGAATCATGTGGTTCTGCTGATGTGGATGGACGCCTCTTCCAACGGCCCAATCCCAACCTTTTTGCCTGCTTGGTTTTGCTTGCAAGGAATCTGGCAGAGAAAACTTTTTTTGCCCAGTGGTTTGCAGAACCGTGTTAGTGTCAGATCTGTTTCAGTTCCTTGAAAGGAAAGTGGTAGGAAAGTTGTTTGCTCAGTGTTGGAGGCTGCCCTTTCATGACCCTTCTTGATGAGAAAGTCAAATAGACTCTAGGGACTGCAATGAGGAAGAAATTCAATATTGACCCGCAGGTCTTAAGTCAACATATGATTATTATAGCAGCCTCTTTCTTCAATGAGGGCTAGGTGTTGGGTGGAGATACTAATGCCCAGGTGGAAGGGCATTCAGGAGAAGCCCAAGTATGGCCTGTCTGTCCTTTCCTTCCTACTTGATTAGGGAAAGAGAGAATCAAAGAGTTGGAAAAGACCATAAAAGTCATCCAATCCAACTAAATTGGGCCATAAAGGAATACATAATAGATGGCCATCCAGACTCTGCTTAGAAACCTACAAAGAAGGAGAGTCCACCAGCAGGGAAAAACATGAGAGTAGGGTGAAAAAGTGTGAAAAAGATGACGGCGTAGATGAAGATGATCTGGAAGATCTAGAGCAGGGGTCCTCAAACTTTTTTAAACAGAGGGGCAGTTTAAAATCCCTCAAACTGTTGGAGGGCCAGATTATAATTTGAAAACAAACCATGAATGAATTCATGGGTCATGCAGATATCAATTCTTTGCAGATCTGTCACCTTGCAAATACACCACCCCTGACCTTCTCATGGAGCAGAGCATGGCAGGTGACCAGACCAACTGTCTGCCACAATTTTGGAATATTAGAAGGTCTCTTGTATAGCAATTTTCTGCTGATGCTGTTCCAAAAAGCTGAAGAAGCCTGAAACATGCTAATTCCAATCAGTTTCGGACAGAGGTTGACTTTGCTCCCTTAAGTGATAATTGGTTTTCCTTCTTAAGGAAGTCAAACTGTTCTCCTTAAGAAGGAAAACCAATTATCACTTAAGGAAGCAAAATCAACATCTGTCTGCGACTGATGAGAATTAGCATGTTTCAGGCTTCTTCAGCTTTTTGGAACACAGGTTGACTTCCTTAAGTGATGTTGGTTTTTATTCTTAAACATAAGGAGCCACTGTGTTGACTTCCTTACTTTAAAAACCCATTGTCTTTGGTAATGTAAACATGTTGTCTTCCACCAAGAGTTAATAATTTGTCTCTGGTCATGTCAACAGCCCAGCAATTCTCATCATCAACTTTTAATTACAATTCATCAGTTCACCTCTTTTGGTAGTTTTTCAAGCTTCAATCTTAGGGTGGTATCTCTAGACTATACATCTTTCATACAATTCCATGCAATCCATACCTCAAATTTCATGACATTTGAGCCCATGGCTCCATTGAGTCCTAGTCTCCTGGACAACAGAAAACAAACCTGACCCTCTTCCTTATAACATCATTTCACATTTGGAAACATGGCTGTCATGTCTCCCCTCAAGCTAAATAGATCCAACTCTTTAATATGCTCCTCATAGGGATTAATGTTCTCCAGACCTTTGCTCATTTTAGTCATCGTCCTCTGGACATCTTCCACTATTCTCTTTATTCCCTTTAAGATGGCAAAATTGAATTTGCAGGTTCTTAGGCATAACCACATTTTGTCCGATTTCCAGGCGTGAATTCCATCAACCCCATGTCGAGGTTTCAGTACTCCATGCTGGACCCACCTGAGATCACCAGCGATTACATCGATCTGGACTTAAACGTAAGCGCACCTCTCTGTTGTGACTCCGATAGTTCATTTCTGACACATAAAATGGTGTGACAATTACTCTTCTGACCTCTCCACAGGCAGCTATTGCATTGATGGGGAGGCCCTTTGACATCTCCGGTCCCGAGATCCCTTTCTCTCTGCCTCCCCCTCGGAAGGATGATGGCGACTCCATGGTGAACATGGGCATCTCGGAGCCCTTTATCAGCAAGATGTTTGCCACCTTGATGAAATCCGGAGTCCTCAATTTCAACATGCGAAACCCTTCGGTCAGTAGAATGATGGGGCTCTAAAGCAGGCAGGGGCCAACTTTGGCTCTCCAGGTGTTTTGGACTTCAGCTCCCACAATTCCTAACAGCCATATGTCCCACCTGGGTAGGATAAGGTCATTATCACACCCTGCCTTTAAGGTGTATTATGTTGCTTGAGAACTGCTTCAGCTGAATATTGACTGTGTGTTTCACACCTTTGCCACATTTATGCTGTGGTTTGTACAGTTTTTTTCATTTATAGTTTTGTTTATTTACACAAATATTATTATCAAATACCATTTACTCTCTCTTGTGCTTCATGATTGGTTTGCTTATGCCTATATACACAAACCAATCATATGTATGTGTATATATACCTAGTGATATCCGGGTTAGCTCTTTTGCAATGATAAATCTTAGAAGTAGTCATTGTTTGTTTTTAGGTTTTATGAATGGTCACATTAGAAAATGCAAAAAAATGTGGGTAAACTACAGCTCCCATCATCATCTGTTGGGTCTGTGTGCCAGATTTTATCTAGATCCATCAACATAGCTCTCTGGATGTCAGTGAACTACAACTCCCAACATCCTGGGTCAATCCCACCCAAACCCTGGCAGTAGTTAAAGTTGGTCATGGGAGGTATGTGTGTCAACTTTGATCAAGATCCACAAGGTTCTCTGGATGTGTTTTCCACACACAAACATAGGTAAATACATACAAACACACACACACACACACACACATCCAGAACAATACTATTATAGATTTATCTGCTCTTCCTCTTTGCCTGCACAACCCTTTTCCCTGCATTCTTGAGTCTATTTGAAATTGGACCCAACCGAGATCCTAATACTGCTCCAAAGGCTTTGGGATACTCCAGTATAGGCGAAATCCCTGGATACTGACCAAGAGCCACTGTGTGTCATGAAAACTGACATCTGTCTGGGTTTTTGTAGGTTTTTTCGGGCTATATGGCCATCTTCTAGAGGCATTCCTCTAGAGCAGTGGTTCTCAACCTGAGGGTCCCCAGATGTTTTGGCCTTCAACTCTTAGAAATCCTAACAGCTGGTAAACTGGCTGGGATTTCTGGGAGTTGTAGACCAAAACACCTTGTGGGACCCACAGGTTGAGAACCATTGCTCTAGAACATGGCCATATAGCCCGAAAAAACCTACAACAACCCAGTGATTCCGGACATGAAAGCCTTCGACAATACATTGACATCTGTCTATTCATGGTTGGGGTTTTTTGGTTAGAGTAGCAAGCCCCATGCCACTGAAGAAGGGAATCTACTCCAGGTTTTAACTTGAAAACTGAAAGGAGCTATCCAAGGTCCTGAAGCTATTCAAACGATATAGATATAACTGCTTGGTGTCAATGAACCCAAATTGGGTTTTGCTCGTGGGTGTTGTTCACTGATGAAAGAGCCGCATGCAATTAAAGCACAAAAGGAATGGCAAAAGGGGAATGCATACAAATTGCGGTGAGTGTAGGATGCCGATCTCTGGGATTCGGGTCAGCAAGCTTCTGTACAGTATATTGGTTTGTTTGTTTATTTCTCATGTCAGGAGCAACTTGAAAAACTGCAAGTTGCTTCTGGTGCAGGAGAATTGATTGTCTGCAAGGATGTTTCCCAGGGGACGCCCAGAAGTTTGATGTTTTACCATCATTGTGGGAGGCTTCTCTCATGTCCCCGCATGGAGAGCTGGAGCTGACAGAGGGAACTCTACCCGCTCTCCCTGTCAGTCAGCAGTCTTGCCGGCACAAGGGTTGAACCCATTGTGCTACCGGGGGCTATTGTTTTGATGGCAAACGGGGAATGGAAACTGCTTTTGCCCTCATGCCCTGGTCATGGGATGTTGTTTGGCCAGCACCAGAAGCGAGATGCTGTATTTAGGCCGGCCTCTTTTTCTGCTCTTATAGTAACTCCCGTCATTCTTTCATTCTAATGCTGAGACCCCTTTGCTTCTCCGCAGAACCTCAAAGGATACCGCCTCACCACCTCCATGTTGGAACCGGCCATCCCTTCGGTAAGTTTTGGAGGAACCCTTCCGCAACTAGAATCATAGAATCATAGAATCAAAGAGTTGGAAGAGACCTCATGGGCCATCCAGTCCAACCCCATTCTGCCAAGAAGCAGGAATATTGCATTCAGATCCCCTGACAGATGGCCATCCAGCCTCTGTTTAAAAGCTTCCAAAGAAGGAGCCTCCACCACACTCCGGGGCAGAGAGTTCCACTGCTGAACGGCTCTCACAGTCAGGAAGTTCTTCCTCATGTTCAGGTGGAATCTCCTTTCTTGTAGTTTGAAGCCATTGTTCCATTGCGTCCTAGTCTCCAGGGAAGCAGAAAACAAGCTTGCTCCTCCCTCCTCCCTGTGGCTTCCTCTCACATATTTATACATGGCTATCATATCTCCTCTCAGCCTTCTCTTCTTCAGGCTAAACATGCCCAGCTCCTTAAGCCGCTCCTCATAGGGCTTGTTCTCCAGACCCTTGATCATTTTAGTCGCCCTCCTCTGGACACATTCCAGCTTGTCAATATCTCTCTTGAATTGTGGTGCCCACAATTGGACACAATATTCCAGGTAAAGTGGTCTAATCAGAGCAGAATAGAGGGGTAGCATGACTTCGCCGTCATCTTTGAATATTTGGCATTCCTAAAGGAGAATGTATTGGCTCTAACTTATCCTTGGGGACATCCACACTGTAGAATTAATTTAATTTGGCCTCACTTTAACTGCCAGAGGTCAATGTCATGGGACCCTGAGAATTGTAGTTTGGCACTCATTGCCAGAGAAGGCTACAGTTAAAGGGGTGTCAAATTGCATTCGTTCCTTGTTTCCTTCCTCCTGCTCTAGATCAGACAAAAATTTCCAAAGGAAGTTGCTCTTGGACTCAACGTGGTACTCAGCAAATTCCCCCTCGTTAGCTTCCGGGAGGGCGCCGCTCTTTTGCGGGTCAGAGTTTCCATCGAGGTGGTTGTGGACACAGCAAGATCTTCAGCAGTAGCCCAGACACTCTGCACACTTGGAGTGGTGAGTAAACACTTTGTGACTATAGTCATTGTTATTGTTGTTGTTGTTGAATTGCTGTGAGGTTTTTGGCTGTATGACCATGTTCCAGTAGCATTCTCCTCTGATCTTTCACCTGCATCTGTGGCAAGCATTCTCAGAGGTTGTGAGGTCTGTTGGAAACTTTGAAATTTGGGTTTATATACTAGCTTGGGGACCTGGCGGTGCCCGGGTTATTTGAGAAAGGCATTGTGTGCCAAGGTTGGTCTTTATCAGTTATTTATGTGGCTTGCAGTGCTCTCAGAAAGTTAGTGAAGGCACTGCGAGTCCCATCGTCCATGGTTCATTCTCCTCCAAACAGCACCAGGATGTAGAGTGGGTCATGAGGGCTCTGTGTGCCAAGTTTGGTCTTGATCAGTCATTGGATGAGGTTCGCAGTGGTCTTGGGAAGTGAGTGAAGTACTGCAAGTCCCATCATCCATGGTCCACCCTCCTCCAAACTGCACCAAGATGTAGAGTGGGTCATGGGGGCCCTGTGTGCCAACTCTAGTCTTGATCAGTCATTGGATAAGGGTGGCAGTGGTCTCAGGAAGTGGGTGAAGGTACTGCAAGTCCCATCATCCATGGTCCACCCTCCTCCAAACTGCAGCAGGATGTAGAGTGGGTCATGGGGGCCCTGTGTGCCAACTCTAGTCTTGATCAGTCATTGGATAAGGGTGGCAGTGGTCTCAGGAAGTGGGTGAAGGTACTGCAAGTCCCATCATCCATGGTCCACCCTCCTCCAAACTGCACCAAGATGTAGAGTGGGTCATGGGGGCCCTGTGTGCCAACTCTAGTCTTGATCAGTCATTGGATGAGGGTGGCAGTGGTCTCAGGAAGTGGGTGAAGGTACTGCAAGTCCCATCATCCATGGTCCACCCTCCTCCAAAGTGCACCAAGATGTAGAGTGGGTCATGGGGGCCCTGTGTGCCAATTCTAGTCTTGATCAGTCATTGGATAAGGGTGGCAGTGGTCTCAGGAAGTGGGTGAAGGTACTGCAAGTCCCATCATCCATGGTCCACCCTCCTCCAAACTGCACCAAGATGTAGAGTGGGTCATGGGGGCCCTGTGTGCCAACTCTAGTCTTGATCAGTCATTGGATGAGGGTGGCAGTGGTCTCAGGAAGTGGGTGAAGGTACTGCAAGTCCCATCATCCATGGTCCACCCTCCTCCAAACTGCACCAAGATGTAGAGTGGGTCATGGGGGCCCTGTGTGCCAACTCTAGTCTTGATCAGTCATTGGATAAGGGTGGCAGTGGTCTCAGGAAGTGGGTGAAGGTACTGCAAGTCCCATCATCCATGGTCCACCCTCCTCCAAACTGCACCAAGATGTAGAGTGGGTCATGGGGGCTCCTTGTGCCAAGTTAGGTCTTTAACGGTCATTGGTGTGGTTCACAGTGGTCTCATTAAGTGAGTAAAGGGACTGCAAGTCCCATAATCCATGGTCCATCCTCCTCCAAATAGCACCAGGATGTAGAGTGAGTAATGGGGGCTCTGTGTGCCAAGTTTGGTCTTTATTGGTCATTGGATGTGGGTCACAGTGGTTTCAGTAAGTGAGTGAAGGTATTGCAAGTCCCATCATCCATGGTCCACCCTCCTCCAAACTGCACCAAGATGTAGAGTGGGTCATGGGGGCTCCTTGTGCCAAGTTAGGTCTTTAACGGTCATTGGTGTGGTTCACAGTGGTCTCATTAAGTGAGTAAAGGGACTGCAAGTCCCATAATCCATGGTCCATCCTCCTCCAAATAGCACCAGGATGTAGAGTGAGTAATGGGGGCTCTGTGTGCCAAGTTTGGTCCTTAGTGGTCATTAGATGAGGGTGGCAGTAGCAAGCATCCTAACAGGTTTGTTCAAAGGTCTGTTGGAATTCAGCCCAGTGAGGTGTATATTTACCTGTGGAATAATGTCCAGGGTGGGAGAAAGAACCCTTGTCTGTTAAAGCAAGTGTGAGCATTGCAATTAGCAATCTTGAATAGCATTGAGTAGCCATGAAGCTGCAAAGTCAATCAGCGAGAGTGTTTGCATAGAGGTAGCATGGACTTTGTTGTCTGGAGGCATCCTCTGTTTAGGAGGCGTTGGATTATCTGCTTTGATAGTCTGGATTATATGCTAGTGTAGAAGGGGCCTGAACTGCCCTATAAAATCCAGATTATCTGCTTTAAAGTGGATTATTTGTCAGCGTAGAAGAAGCCTTAGTGTTTTTTAAGCATGAGCTGCTTGGGGTCTCAATTCTGAGAGGGAAAAGCGTAGCATATAATAATAATAATAATAATAATAATAATAATAATAATAATAATGATGATGATGATGATGATGATGATGATGATGATCCAATACATCAGCCAGCAGACTGTCTGCTGTGGATTCATCTTGTGGTGTTTCAAATAATAATAATAATAATAATAATAATAATAATAGTCATCATCATCATCATCATCATCACCATCATGATCACACAGTCCTAGATTTTATTTATTTATTTATTTACAGTATTTATATTCCGCCCTTCTCACCCCGCAGGGGACTCAGGGTGGATTACAGTGTACACATATATGGCAAACATTCAATGCCAATTTTTGACATACAAACATATACAGACATACACAGAGGCTATTTAACTTTTTCTGGCCGCCAGGGGAGCTGTCGCTTTCATCGTCCATCTGCGACGCTGATGAAGCACTTCCGCATTCCCCGCATGATTCCCCGCTGGAATGCTTTGCTGGAGTCTTCTTTATGGCCTCATAAATCAGTTAATTTAGCCTCCCCACACTTTAAGGTGGTACCTAATTTTCCTACTTGACAGATGCAACTGTCTTTCGGGTTGCAAAGGTCGACAACAGGCTACACACAATTGGTTGGAAACCCACTCCAACCCGGGCTGGCTTCGAACTCATGACCTTTTGGCAGAGTGATCTTAATGCAGCTGACACTCAGCCAGCTGCACCACAATCCCGGTGTTTGGGAAGTGTTCGACTTGTGATTTTGTGATACGAAATCCAGCATATAGATCTCATTGGCTGTGACATACATAATAATAATAATAATAATAATAATAATAATAATAATAATAATAATAATTTTTACTGTAACCTCTAATATCCTAGGCCCTTGGGAAGAGCCCAATATTCAGAGACAAATCCCAGGCACTTGGACCTAATGTGCATGTGTGCTGTGTTGTTATGTACATGTAAACAAAACAACAACCACAATCTATATAAATAAAAATGTAATGTTCGTTTGTGGGATTAACATAACTCAAAAACCCCTGGACGAATTGACACCAAATTTGGCCACAATACACCTAATAGTCCAATGAGTGTCCATCACCCCTAAACACACACACAATCCCAGCGGAACAGACTTAAATACCCCCCCAAAATACACCATATATTCATATACATATACACTCATATATATATATACACATGCACACATTCATACACACACAAGTATATATATATATATATATATATATATATATATATGCACAAACACACACAAATCTACACATATACACACATACATATAGATACACGCACACATATATATATATACACATGCACACATACATATATGCATATACACATGCACACACATATACATATACATATACATACACATATATATACACAAATATGCATATAGACAATCACACATATACACACATACATATAGATACACACACACACACACATATATATACACATGCACACATATATATATACATATACACATGAACACATACATATACATATACACATGCACACACATGGGTGGTGTTTAAGCCACACATACACACAAATATGCATATAGACAATCACACATATACACACATACATATAGATACACACACACACACATATATATATACACATGCAGACATACATACATACATATACACATGCACACGTACATATATACATATACACATGCACACATACATATATTATATACATATACATATGCACACACATGGGTGGTGTTTAAGCCACACATACACACAAATATGCATATAGACAATCACACATATACCCAGTATGCATGTACACATATAAACACACAAATATTTACACCCACATATATATTTATGCGAACATACATATATACACAAATATACACACACGCACATAAACACATATATACACACACAAAACACAAATACACAGCAGTGCGTGGCAGGGGATGGCTAGTAGTAATAATAATATCTTATTTGCAGGACCTGACCCTAGGACTCAAGCTGAAGGTATCGCGAACAAACATTGGCTTCTCAGTTGGCTTGCAAGGGTGAGTTCATGCAGGATGCTTGGGGGATAATGGGAGATGCAGCCCAAACCAGTAACGTTTCTATGTTCATCCAGTTTTTGCTTCTGTCTGAATGCAATATTCCTGCTTCTTGCCAGAATGGGGTTGGACTGGATGGCCCACGAGGTCTCTTCCAACTTGATGGCTCTATGATTCTCTCTGAGTCTATCTTTTCCCCATGTTTGTTCAGCTTGAAGCTGGTTGCTTTCCCCTTGCCATTGAAAGGGGCCTTGGCAAAATTTGGAAAAGTTACTTTGTTTTGAACTGCAGCTTTCAATAGGCATATTAGTTGGAGGATTAGGAGAGAAGAACTGCTTGGTGCATCATCGCAAAAACACTAAGAAGGGCATAAGATCCACATGTGAATTTGAACAAATTTCATGAAAATTTCAACCAAAACAACATTTTACTGTGTGAGAAATTCGCCGTTTTCTATGCAAAATCTGCATTACATTGCCAAAGAAATACCAAAGCCTGTTTTCCCCCTACTTACTATATTATTATTATTATTATTATTATTATTATTATTATTATTATTATCCTGCTTTTTTTCTCCTAAAAGTGGCTAACCGTGTCAAAAAATAAATTAAAAATATGCAATTTAGAAATCAAAAATACATAAACATTGAAGTAGAATTAAACATAGAAGTATTTCAAATAAATACTGCAAGCCACTGAATCTTCCAAAATATATTAAAATATATAAATAATAATCAGCACCCTCTGTCTCAATCTTTTAAAAGTCATCTGTAACTTCCTTCAAATTATTTTATTTGGCAAAAAAAGTACCAAAGTATGAGAAAATAATTGAATAAATGTGCAAAAATCTCACTGAGGAGGGAGAAAACTCCAGAAACTATCTGTTCTTGCATGGAAAAGATAAAGAAATAAGCACTGATTTGTATCCCCAATGTTAAGAGGACTTTTGTTCAACTGTTGCCATACTAAGAAGCCTTTACCCACTTTCTTTTGCAGAGGGGTTGGTCTGCAGGTAGATTCTTCAAGCGTGAAAATCACAAAGGTAAATAAATATCATCCTGTTTCATTGACCAGCCATCAGCAGTCTCTTGTATCCTATGGGCTTGGATGCAGATCAACAGGATCCCATGAAAAGCTGTGGTTTTAACCCGGAGCACTGTCTCTTGTATCCTCTGGGGTTTGAGTCAGAACATTTTTATCCCACCTTTTGGGGAAATTGGTTGATTGGTTTCTTCTCCTCTGGCAGATCTCCAAGATGAAAGAAATCATCCTCTCTAAAATGGAGAAGGCCTTCCTTGCTCATCTGAATGGTAAGGAAGTCCAATGAAGGAATGGGAACTCAATCCTATGGTGTATTTGTTTTTCTTTAATAAAATGGAAACTTTGCCCTAAATGCCCTCAGGAGCCCTATGAATCTTGTCCAAAGTGCCTTAGGGTAATTCATTTTTCACACAACTGCATTAGTATTCATTTATTTATTTACAATGTTTACATTACGCCCTTCTCACCCTGCTGGGGACTCAGGACAGATTACAATGCACATATACATGGCAAACATTCAATGCCATTAGACATACAACATATATAGACAGACACAGAGGTAATTTAACATTCCAGTTTTCTGGCTTCATGAGGGTATGCTCGGTTCCTGCCACAGGGGGAGCCGCTGCTTCACCGTGTGAAACTGAGTCCTTGATGGAATACTTCCTCATTCTTACGCATGCTGCTGGAAGGTTTTGTTGCAACCCAGAGCAGGAAACGAGGCCCTAAGATAACTATCCACCACACTTGACTGGGAAAAAACAATCCTTTTTTACTGATGAAAAATGGTTACAAAATAAAGGAAAAATGCAAAGTCAAAAGCCACAGCAAAATCAGCAAACATGAATGTCCATGAACAAGATCAAAACCCAAAGCCACACTGTAAAATACAGGAACCTGTTAGCAATCCACTAACCGTACTTGGTGTTCTAGAAATCTCTCAAGACGATGGCCAGGGGAACCGGGAGAACTGCCAAGGTACTCATCAATCTAAAACGATGCCTGAACTGAGGAAGTCAGCCCGGCGAAAGGCACTTAAAGCCAAGGAATTTGTTTCGTGATATGCCTCCCTGCTTTGAAGCCATTGTTTGTTTTTCTTTTAATCTAGCTGACCGTCGCAGGCTGAGTGATTCACCCCTGTCTTGCCAAATCTGCCCTCTTCTGTCCTCATTAGGGATCCCAGGTGCAGAAGGGAGTGAAAGGTCATTGCTTCCCTCTGAAACATTTTCATGGACACTGGCACTTTCATTTTCCAAATCTGCAGAAGTTTCTTCTTCACTAATTTCAGGATCATTGTCACTAATTTCAGGATCATTTACATCAGAAAGTACATTTTCATTAGCATCAGTAAATACATTTTCATTAACATCAGGAGGTACAATCAGAGAATCAGGTTCAAACTCAGGCTGAACCCCAACAGGTTTTATGATGTCGTAAATTACTTAAATTGCCTCCCTGCATAAAGCAGTACCTAAATGTCCTGCTTGACAGATGCAACTGTCTTTCAGGCTGCATAGGTCAAAAGCAAGCTAGACTATTAATGGTCAGGAGCTCACTCCGACTTGGTCTGGCTTCGAACTCAGACCTCTTGGTCAGTTGTGATTTAATGCAGCTGATGCACCACAGCCCTAGTACTTATTTGGGGAAAGATTAAAATGGACCAGGGTGCATCTACACCATAGAATTAATACAGTTTGACACCGTTTTGGGTCAGTGTTATGGGATCCTGGGAGTTGTAGTTTGGTGAGGCACAGGCCCTCTTTTGGCAGAGAAGGCCAAAGACTTAGTAAAACTACAACTCTCATTAATTCTACAATGTAGATGTGCCTCCAGAGAGTACCAAGGCCCAAAAGGATTTTGGGATGCAGTGGTGGGAAAATGCAGTTTCTCTCTCTCCAAGGTCCTTAGGAGGAAAGACTGGATTGTGGGCTCCTATGATGCAGAACAAGGTCATTTTCGATGGCCCTTGGGTAGTCTCTTCCAATTATAGGTTTATATTATTTACTTTCCTAGCCTTCACCCAGTGGTCAGTATATGGGCATTGTGCGGCCAGGAAGAAAGTCTCCAAGAGGAACTGAAGCTAGATGGCCATCTGTCAGGAGTGCTTTGATTGTGTAGCTCTGCATGGCAGGAAGGGGCTGGACTGTATGGTCCTTATGGGTGTCTTCCATGGTTTTATGAGTATTCCAATAATGACTACCTTCCTGTTTTCCTCTCCAGCTGTCCTGAGTGTTGGGATATCTCTTCCCAAGCTGAGCAATCTCCAGTACGTCGATCCACAGATAGAGATGCATGAGGTGAGTCTCTGGCTTGGTTTGCCTCCTTCTCTTCCATCCATTTGATACATCGATGCAACACTGTTCTCGTCTTCCAACCCCATCTTCCCTTACCTCTCTTGGGCAACTGTCTTTCCTGTATTGTTGTTGTTTTTTAATAGATTTTTATTCAGAAAAAATTGTAGTGATATAATAAAAGAGGGGGAACATTGTGTGGGTACAGAAAAGTAGGAAATAAAATTGAATTTCTAAGAGAGGAAGAGAGAGACAAAACACAAAAGAAAAAGAAAAAAAATACTAGGGTAGAACAAAAAATCAGTGCTTCCTATTTTCACCCCAGAGAATTGTTATCCAAAATGGTAATAAGATAGAATTATGTATATATATTACTACTCCTTTTAGTGTTTGACTTCAATCATTCCGTATATTTCATATAATGGTTTCATTTACTATTATTTCCAGATGTTCGTCTTTCAAAAAAACATTTCAGGGGTGTCCAATCCATTTTTCTTTTTGGGATTTGGGGAATGACATGAAATTTGATAAGTCTATATGTCCACATTCATTATAATCTAGTAATCTTAATACCCATAATGTTCTAGTTGGAGTTGTAAGAGAAACAGGCGTCCCAAGACCCTCTGGGTTCTTACCAGTTCACTATGGATCCGAAGCAGGAGTCCAAACAGTTAGAATGGCAAAACACAGGTTTATTTCATATTGTGAAATAGAAGGGCGGACAGACAGCATAACGCAGTATGCCGATACCAAGCTTCCGCGCCGACGGGGGCAAACGTTGGGTTTTTATATACCCTCTGACAATGCATTTAGCAACCACATTTTAGTAACACAACATGCCCCTTGTACCCTTGTGGTCAACCTTGTGGTCAGAGACCAGTAAACATGTGGCAACCATGTACCCTGTGGTTAGTTGTTGTTGCAGGAAGCCGCCCTGAGTCCCCCCTAGGGGGTTGAGAAGGGCGGGGTAGAAATGTTCAAAATAAATAAATAAATATGTGGTAACTGTGTTCTTGTGGTCAGCCAGTTCCAGTGAACTGGCTGACCATCATGTACTTTTGTGGTTAAGCTGTTAGCTGTACCGGAGGAAGCTGTCTTGGTCAATCATCCTGTTTACCAAGTACCAAGCACATCCCCTTCGCTCCAGGCACCTTGCAGTGTTCCTATGCGGCCTATGTTTAAAGCCCCCCAGAAACCCCTAAATAACCCCTAAATATGGCTTATGTCCTTCTCAGAGTGATTTCCTGTTTCCATAGTTTTGCATAGGTTAGTCTTGCTGCTGTCATCATGTAGGTCAGAAGTTTGTCTTTATTTTGGTGTAATACAAAGTCAGACATACCTAATGAAAAATATTCTGGTTTAAACTTAAATCTTATTTTCAAAATTTGTTGTATTGTTTTGTGGATGTCTTTCCAGAAGTCTCTAACTTTTGTACAGTTCCACCACATATGTAGAAAGGAGCTTGTGTGTGCTTTGCGTTTCCTGTCTTGTTGTTGACATGGGCCATGGATCACAGTGTGAATGTCGTAGAAGGTTAGACTACTGCAATGCACTTTATGTGGGTCTGCCCTTGGAAACTGTGCAGAAGATGCATTTAGTGCAGGCATGAGCAAACTTGGGCCCTCCAGGTGTTTTGAACTTCAACTCCCACAATTCCTAACAGCCGGTAGGCTGTTAGGAATTGTGGGAGTTGAAGTTCAAAACATCTGGAGGGCCCAAGTTTGCCCATGCCTGCTCTAATGTGTGGCATGCATTCCTTTCCTCAAAATATCAGGAAAGATTTATACTAGTTAAGGAATTTCTATTATTTCTGACTATTTGTGTCCTCCTTTGAACTTCCAGGGTTACGCCCAGGTCAACTGCGACCTTGACTATGTCCCTTAAGCCGAAGAAGGAAGGAACACCCACATTGGGTTCATTAAGGACCCATTTCCTGTTCTTTGGATCTGCAAATTTTTGGATACTGAATGAAGGGAACTCTGCTTTCATCTGCTGCACGCAATAGTGGAAATGCACCTGATGCTTTGGTTTGCAAACTGCGAATGTTGGACTCTTATGACTTGGAACTCACCATCAACTTGGATGAAAGATCTATTTGGTGTCGAGGGAATTTAATTCCCAGTCATTGGGAGCTTTGCTTTCCTATGTTTCCCTCTAATCACTGGTAATCAATGAAGCGAAAGGAACGTGTACAGATTTTTGTGGTGCATTTCGATCTGATCATGTCCACAGTGTGCCATTCAGTTGCTATCTTTGCCTTATTAAAGCACACTTTCTGGTTTAAGTTTGCCTGCAGGGAATGATGTTTACATGCCGAAATACCATTGGTGTCATATATCTTCCTATAAACTCCTTTAGGTGTTCATTTGGACATTTTTAATGTTGGTGCGATTGACATATTCAATGTGTTGTCGAAGGCTTTCATGGCTGGAGTCATGGGGTTGCTGTGAGTTTCTTGGCCTGTATGGTCATGTTCCAGCAGCATTCCCTCCTGATGTTTCACCTGCATCTGTGGCTAATGCAATCTTCAGAGATTCTGTTGGAAGTGATGCAAGTGTAGTGTAATTAGGCTTGTTTGATCCAAAACATCGTTTCGGATGTAGGGGGTGCTGGTGGTTCGATTCTAAAGTCAATTCCGATTTTCACAGGAAAAATATGTTCAAAACTTTTTTGAAACTTCCGGGATTTCTGAATCCTTCCTTAATGGTTT